TTCTTTTTGCTTATGTGGTGCTGAGGAATCGAACCCAAGGCCTCGAGCATGCAAGGCAAGCGCTCTACCACTGAGCCACCTTCCCAGCCCGCAAAGGATGTTTTAAATATATGTCACCTACTTGATGTTTGTGGTGCATGTGTAGTGTCATTCTCCCCTGCTGATGAATATGTATGCAGTTCTTTTCACAACCTAGCCTACTCATGTGTAAGACAGTTAATTGACATTGTTAAGGGATTTATCTAGGCATTCTGAGCCTTAACATAGACTCTATGCTTCAAAACAGGCTGACAGCCCTGTGCCAGTGGTTCATGCCCATAACCCTAGCTACTCAGGAGGCTGAGATCTGAGGATCATGGTTCAAAGCCAGTGTGGGCAGGAAAGCCCATGAACCACTAGAAAACCGGGAGTGGTGCTTCGGCTCACGTGGTAGAATGCTCACCTTGAGCTGCTGAAGAGCTGAGGGACAGCGCCCAGGCCCAGAGTTCAAGTCCCACGACCAACAAAAACCAGGATGAGTAGATCTAAGCCAGAGGGAGTTTTGTTCTATTTTGTGTTGTCTTTAAGGAAAGAGAACCTTCTCCCCTGTCTCCAGACATCAGCTGGTCACCGTTGTGTCTGCTGAGAGCCCTGGTGGTGTCACCACTTCACATACCGCCTCTGGCTCTGGTTGTGAGGTGGTGCCAGCATGAACAAACACGCGGTGCAGAACAGCTTGAAGGAAGGAGAGTGGTCCTTACCCTCGCTCCCCCGTGATGCAGGGTGGCCCCTCCAACAGTGGTTTGTCTGCTTGGCCCTCTTGTTGACTCGAGCCGCTCCCTCAAGCCCTTCTCCATGGTTCCCTAGACCTGTCCTTCCTTGGGCTTCACTGTCCCCCGTGTGTGCTCCTCTGGTTCTGTGATGGTCCCTTGCTCTGCTCCTCTCCCTCTTCCTTTGAGTGGCCAGCAGGGCTCCCCGGGGTCTGGAGAGGTCTCTGCATCCCACCTCCTTCCAGCTCCCCCTCTTGGTCTGGCAGCAGTCCACAGTGTGACAGCTCTGGATAGCTCTGGACCCCTCCGAGACAGGAAAGGGCAAGAAGAGCAGGCGGTTGGCTGCCCAGAGCACACGGGAGCTAGTGATGGGGCCTGCGGGAGTGCCTGTGTGCTCCTTCCCCCCGGCCACCCCCCCCAAAGTTGGCCTGGCTCAGGACGCAAAGCATCGGGGGTATCAGGCCTTTCCGTGGGTACAGTGGCCATGGGTAGCACTTGAGTTTGATTTGGCTGGTGACCCCATGTTTCCACCTCCACATCTAGCCACAGCCGTGGCCGTGTGTGTGGTGTGGATCCCATAAAGATGGGCAGACCCACAGGAGCTTTGAGCCCAAGCCCCCAGTGGACGCTGTGTGGTGACAGCCCAGCATTACTGCTCTCCCCGTAAGGCGACCGCGAAGGGCAGGGCCGGGCCTCCAGGAGGAAACCCCACTCCTCTGTGAGGCCACGCACCTCCGTCAGCCCCCACGGCCGGGCACCTACGTTTGCTCTTGTTCAGTTTCTGTGCTGAAAAAAAAGGACTTGATTCATTTGTAGACTTTGTTTCCCCTGTTTCTGCCTCTCCATTTCTTGTATTTTTCCTTTCCCTCTGTTGTTCTTTTCTCACGTTTTATGCTTTTTGTCCTCTGCTTTTTTTTTAATTTAATTTCACTTTCTCCCTTTCCCTCTCCACCTCCAACGTCCTCCTCCTCCTCTTTTTCCTCTTCTTTTTTTTGTCTTTCTCCATTTCCTCCTCCTCCTCTTCCTCTTCCTCCTCCTCCTCCTCTTCCTTGTTTGGTCCTTTTTGAAGTTGAGCCCAGTGGCGGGACTCCACGGCGTAGACCTCTCTCCTTCTGCCCTTGCTGTGTCCAGGAAGGTAACGTAACCTCTTCCCACCTCATCCCCACTGCTTCACGGGGTTGTAGCTACCAAGGTCCCACGGGGAGCCGAAGCCCAGTTGTTCTTTCCTTCTCTGACCCACGACAGCCCTTTCTGAGAACGTCACCAACATGTGGCAAGCCCCTACAAGGCACAGTATCCCTTAGACTGCCTAAGGAACGGTTGGGAACGGAGGGAAGCTGGGAGCCGTGGAGCCTGGCGTCCAGAGGCCCACATTGGGCCTTGGGGCCCGTGAGCTCCCGCCCACCACCGGGGAGCAGGAGCGTGGAGCGAGAGCCACCCTCGTGGCAGCCATTTGTATTGCTGGAGTCAAGGAATACTGTCCTTAGGCAGCCTGGTCGACACAGACACCCCTAAGGTCTTTTCCAAGGGAACCACTAGAAGCAAACTTCTCTACCTTGTGTCTTGCTGAGTGTGTCTTGTTTTGTTTTGTTTTTTTTGAGTCTGTCTGGTTTGAAGTCTTGTGATGAGATTGTCGTTGAGAAGGCATGTGAGCGCGGGAGGGCAGCGTGGCCATGACTAACCCCTGCTCTCCATGGCTGTCCCCACCCCTCCACCTCCCCTTGCTCATCGGCTATGAACAGGCTCCACCGAGGCTCATGAGGGGTATCCAGACGTCCCCCACCGGTTGAATTTTCCTGTCTTGATGTGCGGGGAGGCCGGGAGGGGAGGAGCGGGAGACTCGGCGGCGTGCTCGCGGTTTGCATGCCACGCGGGCTCACTGTGCAGAGATGCCCCAGAAGGAATGCGTGGAACCGGGCTGCAGGCTGCTTTAAAGCCAAAGACCCAAGTCTATTGGATTGGGTGAGGAGAGACCTTGGGCCCCAGACAGGACGGCCACACCGCAGCCTCTGCAGGCTCCACGGCCTGGGGAGAGAGGCGTTTCCATCTAGAAAGCAGGGCTGGGGGGCAGGACAGGCCTTACATGCAGGAGCAAAGGCTGTAGCTGGGCCCGGAGGAGACACACCCTGCTGGTGTGGACCTGAGTCCCTTTGGCCTCCCGAGCAGCTGCTAGCTAAGGACTACCTGGCTTAGATATGCATGTGCCCAGAAAACACCGCAGCGGCTCTTCTGCTTTGTTTGGTGCGGGGTAGAGAGGCAGCGTGCAGCCAAGAAGGAGGGAGGGGAAAGCCCAGGAGAGGCACCTGCCTGAGAACATTATTGTGTACTCCCGTGCTAAGACACCCTGAAATTCTGCATAAAGTTGATGTTGGGCTGGAGGTGGAGCTCAGTGGGAAGCACTTGCCTGGCTTTCCAGAGGCCCTGGTTTCCAGACCTAGCACGGCAACATACATTTGATGTGTGCACACATGACATTTCTTGAAAGAGTTTGTAATCAAAAAATATTCATGAGCCAGGTGCTGGTGACTCACACCTCTAATCCGACCTACTCAGGAGGCTGAGATCTGAGGCTCACGGTTCAAAGCCAGCCTGGGCAGGAAAGTCCATAACACTCTGATCTCCAATTAACCAGAAAACCAGAAGTGGAGCTTTGGCTCAAATGGTAGAGCTCTAACCTTGAGCAAAAGCTGAAGGGAGGGCATCCTAGCCCTGAGTTCCAGCTCCTTTGCCACTAGCACAGAAAAAAAAAAAACATATGAATGAGCCTCTTCTGTGATCTCTGAGGCAGGAATGTACTCTCCTTGGCTGGTTTGATCCTTGGGAAGTCCTCCCAGTATCCTCCCACTGCAGTCAAAGCCAAGGGCCCAGTCTCCTGTTGGAGACTAGTTGTGATTAATTCAGGGCAGCCCACACCAGCAGTTACTGCCTGCCCCAGAGCCAGCTGCCGGGACTGGAGTAGATGAGAGCCCTTTAGATGTGTCTTATAGATCTGCACTTGTCCTGTTTGTTATACTAGTTTCCTCCAAGGTAGGGAGGCAAGCCGGGTCCCAGCGGCTCACACCTGTCATCCTAGCTACTCAGGAGGCTGAGATCCGAGGGTCACGGTTCAAAGCCAGCTCGGCCAGGGAAGTCTGTGCGACTCTTATCTCCAACTGATCACCAAAAGAAGCCAAAAGTGGAGCTGTGGCTCAAGTGGTAGAGCAATATAGCCTTGAGCAAAGGAGCTCAGGAGCAATGCCCACCCCAGGATCAGCACCCCCAAATAAAAAAGAAAAAGAGGCAAAGAAGGGCCTGGTAGCTCATGGCTGCTATAATCTTAGCTACTCAGGAGACTGAGATCAGTAAAAGTATGGCTGAAGCTCAGCCCAGGGAGCAAAGTTCAGGAGATTCTAATCAATAACAATAAAAAGCTATACATAAGCAATAAAAGTGAGCCAATAAAAAGCTGGGTGTCCAGCCTGAACCATCCAAGCAAGAGAAAAGAGAACCCTACCTAAAAGATGTCCGAAGTTCATACCAGTGGCCAAGGTCTAGAGTCCTAGCTACTGCAGAACTGAGACTGACAGAATAGTTTGAGGCCAGCCTGGGCAGAAAAGTTCACAAGACCCATCTCAGCCAAGAGCTGAGCACGGTGGCGTGCACCTGTTCCTCTAAGTTAAGAAGCCTAAAGCAGGTGAATTGCAATCTGCCACGGCAGAAAACGACCTTATCTCAAAAATAACCAGAGCCCCGAAGGGCTGGAGGTGTGACTCAGTGATAGAGCACTCACCTAGCAAGTACAAGGCCCTGAGTTCAAACCCCAGTAATGCCCAAATTCGTAATGATCAAAGCAGAAAGGGCTGGAGATGTAGCTCAGATAGTTGAGGGCCTGTCTAGCCAGCACAAGGTTCTGTGTTCAAAGAAAACAAAAATGGAGGCACAGCAGTATAAGATTCCAAAGACAGCTGCTGCACAGAAGAGGCCTGGGAAGAGAGGACAGTCTCCAACATGGTCTCCTAGTGGAGGTGAGGGCGGGGCCTCACGGGACAGACGGGCAGCGCAGGGTTGGTGAGGCCTGAGGTCGGGATGGTTTGGGGGCCTGGCATTCTCTGCCCCTTCCCAAGGCTGTAGGCAAACTTCGGGCCTGGCTTGGAAGTGTTCCGGCAGCATCTTGCTCGGCTCTCTTTGCACATTTGCCCCGGTGTGATGGACCCTCCCGGCTGGCTGGACAAACGAGCCGTCCCGTGGCCCGACACACCCCCTCTCTCGCAGGCATGGGTAAGAAGGATGACCCCAAGCTGATGCAGGAGTGGTTCAAGCTGGTGCAGGAGAAGAACGCCATGGTGCGCTATGAGTCGGAGCTGATGGTCTTGTGAGTCTGGGGGCCTGGCTGCGGGGAGGGCCGGGTGGAAGCCTGGTTCCCTGTGGCTTCCCAGAGGGAGAAGGTTGGTCCCCACGTGACGGCCGCTGTTCCCCTCCCGTCCCCCTCCCCGCAGCGCCCGGGAGCTGGAGCTGGAAGACCGGCAGAGCCGACTGCAGCAGGAGCTGAGGGAGCGCATGGCGGTGGAAGGTGAGCGGGCAGGGCCTGGGGGAGGAGGGGGGGCGAGCAGTGCTCCACAGCAGCACCACTCATGCCTTTGGCCACGTGGCAGATCATCTGAAGACTGAGGAAGAGCTGTCGGAGGAGAAGAAGATCCTGAATGAGATGCTGGAGGTGGTGGAGCAGAGAGACTCCCTCGTGGCCCTGTTGGAGGAGCAGCGGCTCCAGGAGAAGGAGGAGGACAAGGATCTGGAGGCCGCCATGCTTTGCAAGGGCTTCAGCTTGGACTGGTCCTGAGCCCAGCCTGCCCTTGCAGTTGGTGGATTTGGCATTGCCTGACCCTGCTGTGTGCTGGTAAACCGCCCGGCGCCCTCGGGCGTTTGAAGCCGGACACCCTCGCGCGCGGGCGCGGTGAGGAGAACCCCCGGGGGATGGCGACTTGTCCGGGACAGTTCCACCCCCTGGGAAGGGGCCACCGGACCCCCACGCCGCGGGGAGGAGCAGGGTGGTTTGAGGCACACCTGCACAGTCCCTGACTGCCACTGCTGGAGCCTTTGCCTTCCACTGGCACACGTGGTAAGAGCCTGAAGCAGCGCCCTCTCAGAGCCGCCGCCGCCACCACCACCACGCAGAGCACCACAGAGCGGGCAGTCATCTTCATGCTCCCTGAAGCACCACCAAAGAAGGGCAAGTCACCCTGCACAAGAGAGATGTGGACAGCAAGGACAGCGGTATTGCTCACCTCAGCCTCACGGGGAAGCTGAGCGCCGGGCAGGGTCTGGATCATTCTGGATCATTATGCAAGTCAAGAGGACGTGGGCTGGGTCTGTCCCTAGTCCTGCATCATACATTCGACCCTCCCCCCACAAGTGGCCAAATGCCCAGGCCTCTCACTGGCTGTGGCCTGAGGCCTGTGTATTGCTGCGTTTTGCTTTAGTTCACAGCCATTTTGACACTGGAAAGTACTGACTTTGTGGGGGCCATGGGAGGCCTTACACATTGAGGCGTCCCCCCCTGGCACAGCACCCACGGGGGCAGGAGGGGGCTGCCCTTGGCATCTTCCTGCGTTTGCACCTTGAAACGAAGCTGACGATCTGGCGAGACACTCGGCCACTTCGGACCCTTTTGGTCAATTAACTTATTTTTTTAATACTTGAAAAGAAGCCACTTCATTTTTGTACCTTTACTAGAGACACTGACCACCTGGCACCTGCGCATAGGATTGAGAGAGATCTCTGCCCCGTCCCATGCAGTCTGACCCCAAACTGACTGAATGCTTGTGACGTGCGTCTATTTATTATTAGCCTTCTTCAGCGTGTTACTGACCTGGTCGGCATCAGGGAGCAGCTCAGAACCCTCCCCGTCCTAACTGCAGCTTTTCTGGCCTCTCCTTTAACCGTCTGCCTCCCTGCTCCGCCCAGATCCCTGTTCTTGCCATGCGCTGGGCTTCTCCATCAGAACACTCCCTGTTCATGTACTTCCCTGCCATGGGAGGCCTGACCAGGAGGTAAAGGTGCTGCTGCCCTGGTCTCTTCCTGTTGGGATCTTGGCTTTGAACCCATTTTTTCCTCAGTTTCGGTGCCAGGATTTCATCTCCCTCCACATGTAGGTTACAGAAAGTTTGGGAGTAAGCCCTTGTCCAACTGGCTGAGACCAAGTCGGGAGGCCTCTGCCATCAGTCTGGCTGATGAGAGCACCTTTGCCCAGCCAGCCTGGGGTCCAGCAGGACAGGGACGCATGTCCTGCCCTCCACTGGGACTACGATTTAGGATGGTTGCCAACAGACAGTCGGACAGCTACAGCCTCGGTTTCCTGCCTGTGCTAGGGACTGGGTGGGTTGGCACAGACTACTATGCATGTCATATCCCACTCCATAAGCCCAACGATCCAAACCGTTTACTTCATGTACAGTTCATGGAGCCACTGGCTGAGAACACCGGGCGCCAAGGTGCTAAGTCTACCAGGAGAATCAGCACATTGACATGCAGGATGAGACTGATCCAGGAGGCCCCGGGCAGCCCTGCTGCCCCTGGCAGGGAAGGTCCAGTGTAGAGAAAGGGCCTCTGGCTGTTCCTGAGAACAGGCCAGGCCAGCGGCCCAGGCTGACCTTGGACATCCCATAGGAACCACACTGTGCCTCAACTTGAACATCCATCTAACCGCAAAAGAGCAAGCAACCCGTCTACTTTGTCTAAAAACTGCCATCTCTTCGGTGGAAATCAAGATGTGCCGCTAGCAACCATCATAGCATGGATGTTTTCCGAGCAGGCAGCATCTCCATTTCTGTTCTTTCCCCAAGTGGGAGGGGAGCATGTTCTGGGTTTTCACCCTTCACCCCAGCCTGCCGGTCAACTTGGACTTTGGACAGGACCCTCTGCTTGAGTGGCCTTTTCCCTGACCCTGCCTTTCTCTCAGATGCCACCGGCCAGCCCCACAGCATTGCTCGCGTCCATCTCTGTTGCTAACCCCGAACAAGGCAGCCAGTTCCAAAGTGACTAAGGGGTGCGGTTGTAGTATACTGCCTCAAGTGGCCTTGTGTAGCAGGAAACCTTCCTTCCACCTCTTGTAGCTGCCCAGTCCTGGTCAGCCAGGGCATCACCATGTCCTCCAGAGCACACGCCAATGCCTGCCAGCCACGATGTTGCTGCCTGCAGCCATTGAAGGGGGAGGGAAGCCACTGCAGAAGGGCCTCAGAAAACCACCAGCCCGAGACCAGCCCCAGCTCTCTGCCCTGACTGCACTAGCATTTCAGGGTCTCTTTTAAGCTCCCAGTTTGTAACCACTACCCTGCAGTTGATTTTAATAGCCTGGGGACTTGCTATGGGAGATGATATCTGCATTTGGAATACATAAAGTTCCAGATACGTGCTGTTCCCAAGAAGGAAGCCTTCCCTTGGAGGCAGGGAAGAGGGTATGTGCACACGCAGGTAAGATGATGGGTATTCATCTGAGCAAGTCCAAGTACAGCTGGAGGTCATGTTCCACACCCCTGGAGGGCCGAGTTTCAGGCTGGCCAGAGCGCCCTGTGGGATCTTAACCTGCTCAGTTGACATCTGAGGGCCTCCACCCAGGAGCCATCCCGAGCTGATTCCGACCAGCAATGATAGATCATTCTTAACCCTTTCTCGACATTTTTTCACTGCAGCAGGAAGAGAAAAGAGTCAGAAAAATAGAATGAGTGGCTGAAGATGTAGCTCAGTGGTAGAACGTATGCTTAGAATGCATGAGGCACTGGGTTTAATCTCCAGCACTGTAAAAACAAACCAACCGTAAAAGGGTTATCACATCTGACCACAAAGCAGAATGGTCTGTTTCATGCGCAATAAAAGTTTTTCAAAGAAAATGGCAACTGTATTTCTTGTCATTATACTGTACTTGGCAGTAAGCCAGAATTTCTGCATCCCCACCTCCCTTCAAGGAAGATGGTATGTATCTACCTAGCTGTTTGAAGGATACAACTTTCTGTTTTAGTTTATGATCCTGACTCAGCCATCAACAAATAGCAGCACTTGAGAAATAGCAGCCTTGTTTGGAAAGAAGCAACTCTATAGAACTGGAGCCTCCCTGCCTTTTTTTTTTTTTTTTTTGCCAGTCTTGGGACTTGAACTCAGGGTCTGGGCACTGTCCCTGAGCTTCTTTTGCTCAAGGCTAGGACTCTAATCACTTGAGCCACAGTGCCACTTTCAGTGTATGTGGTACTGAGGAATGGAACCCAGGGCTTCTTGTGTGCTGGACAAGAGCTCGACCACTGAGCCACCTTCCCAGCCCCTCCAGTGTGTTTCGAGTCACTTACCAGTTGGTCCTGGAGGTAGGATTCTTGCCCGCTGACCCAAAGCCTCTGTTATCACTGTCTAAACACAAAGCTATAAAACTGGGTAGGTTTGGACCCTGTTCATGCCTTCATTCCCAGGGCTTCTGACCCAACTCCAAGTAGAGATCTTTGGGTCATTAAAAGCAAAGGAACTTCAATCTTGGGGAATGCTAGCTACTCCTATGCCAGGGACAAGGGCACTGGCAGTAAGTGAACTGTTGTCACCCAGGCCCACGCCTGAGGCCAGAGGTCTTGGGGAACTCCAGAGAACAGCACAGCTGTGGGTTGGGTAGGCAGGCTGCTCAGCTGTGGGGTATGGACCTGAAGCCCCACTTAATGGACTGACCTTGAACACGGTGCTAGGCACTGCAGGTCTTGGGCCTCTCTGGGTGAGCCCGCACCCCCAGTCTCTCTCAGTTCTGTTCCTTGGATCCTGGTGCTGTCACTCAAGAACCTCACTGAGCATGAGTCGCAGAGCCTCTGTTGCATGCAAGTCTTTTCCCAGTTTCTCCCAAAAGGGTCCCAGCCCCATGCCTGGAGAATCCAGGAGGCAGCCCCCAGCCCTAGAATCCTGTGGACAGAATCTTTTAAGAAGCATTGCAGGCCGGGCGCTGGTGACTCACGCCTGTAATCCTAGCTACTCAGGAGGCTGAGATCCGAGGATCGCGGTTCAAAGCCAGCCCGGGCAGGAGAGACCGTGAGACTCCTATCTCCAATAAACCACCAGAAAACCGGAAGTGGCGCTGTAGCTCAAGTGGTAGAGCGCTCGCCTTGAGCTGAAGAGCTGAGGGACAGCGCCCAGGCCCAGAGTTCAAGCCCCATGACCGACAAAAAAAAAAAAAAAAAGCATTGCAGAAAGGTAAGTTGTACGGTAGTGTAAATAGAAAAGTCCTTGTGTTCACCAGGCACTGGTGGCTCGCAGCTGTTCTGTAATCCTAGCTGATCAAGAGGCTGAGATCTGAGGATCCTCACTGGAAGCCAGACCGGGGCAGAAAAATCCTGAGACTCTGATCTCCAGTAGAACTAGTAGAAAAAGCCAGAAGTGGCGCTGTGGCTCAAAGTGGTGGAGCACTAGCCTTGAGCAAAACAGTGCCCAGGCCCTGAGTTCAAGCCCCATGACTGACCCTCAAAAAAAAAAAAAAAGTCCTGAGCCTCATTCCAAACATCTGCAGTGGAACACTGGTGACCTTGCTCCTGACCTTGAGAGCCAACCTGCGGAGAGGAGTGAAGGACAAGTTGGAAGGACTCCCTGCCCACCATGGTAAAGTGCACTCTCCAATTTCTGCATGCTTCATGTGGCCAAAATAGAGCTAGCTATCATTTGCTTCACCTGTTCTGTTTGGAAGAGTCATCTCTGCCCTCAACAAGCAAACTCATGCCTCTGGGGCGGAGATAGTCCTGTGAAATCCGGGCCTCGGGACATTCACCACCTCTGGCCCAGCTGCCGGAAGAGTCTGTGGCCTGTCCTAGAGCATCCTAGCCACCCAGCCACCCAGAGGGCTGTGTCTCCAGCTCTTATTAGGTCAAGACCCACAGGGAGACAACAGAATGGAATTTGCCCCTGGGCCCTTGTCATCCCAGCCCTAGTTCTCTCCAAAAGGAGCTCTCCAAGGTTCCCCACCCCTGTTTGTGCAGTTGAGAAAAGCTGCCCCAATGACTGTACACCAGGTCACTAGGCCGCCTTCTTCCATCTGAGCTGGGGACTGGGCCCCTGGGTCCGGCCCACGTAACGGGATCTTCAGACTCCGGAACACGGACCTTGGCTTTGAGTGCTGAACCACGAGCCCATCACCACACCCTCAGGGGCTAGGGCTCCGCTCCCTTGGCCCGGCTCTTTGTAGGAAACTGCCATCATCTGTTCTTTCCTCTGGAGCCCAGCCGAGTCCTGGCAGATGCTGGGAAGGGACGTTTCTGAGATGACTGAGGGGTCAGCCCTTTCCAGCCCTGCTCTGCTGTCTGTGGTGGAGGCTCACAACTCCAGGCCATTGGGGCTGGTGGAGTGGTCCAAGGGAGGGGCTAGAGCCAGGGGGTCTGGGAAGTTCCCCAGCTGGGTCCTGAGGCCCCGCTGCAGGCCCTGCTGCCTTGCCCCACCACAGCCCACAGCCTGGGCCGCTGCCCTCCACCGGGGCCGCTCAGATGCAGAGCTGGGACATTGTTTTGTGCCCCACAAGCCTTGGTCCTGGATCTTTCCCCTGTTCAGCAAAATTGGT